CGCTTGTCCTTCCCTGCTGATTTCCACGCCCCGTGATAGTCTGTGAACATTGCTGGGAGCGGTAGCCACGGCCCCCAGGGCCATCTCTGGAGGAGATCCCCACACATGTATTCCAAATCCTTCCCTGCCCCCAGTCTGTGGAGGAGAGGGTGCCGTGCCACGTTCCTGCAGGGGGAAGAAGGGGTGCCGTGCCATGTTACTGCACTGGGAGGAGGGCTGCCATGCCACGTTCCTGCAGGGGGAAGAGGGGGTGCCGTGCCACGTTCCTGCAGGGGGAGGAGGGGGTGCCGTGCCACGTTCCTGCAAGGGCAGCAGGAAGGTGCTCTCAGCTCTGGAGGCCATTTGGCTAGTCCTGGTGTCAGTGGGCTGTGCTTCCTCTGCCCGAGGGAAGCACCTTCTGCCTCCCAGGGAGCGCCTCTCCTGCCCCCTCCAGCTGCAGGCAAACCTTGGCTTGCAAATGGGTCACTGGAATCTCCACTCTTCACCTCAGTCTCTGTAATGATCAGGGCCCCCAGGCAGACCCGGTGACCTCGAACTTAGTAACATCTGCAAAGACCCTTGTTCATGTGAACTTCCCTGCCTAGGGCTACCTTTCAACTCACTGGGGAAGTCACACGCCATCCTCCGGAGGCCCCACCCCCGTCCCTGGGGCTTTGGGGCCTAGTGAAGCTTATCCGCACCTTTGGGGCCTGACAAGGCCCTTCGCAGCCTCAGCTGGTGTCTGTGCCGCTGCCTGGTGCCCCTGCCCTGGGCTGGAAGCGTCTTCGCTGATGCTCCCGCGGGGGAGAGAAGGTGCCGCAGGAGCCCAGGTCCCCATCCCCCTGGTTTCCACCTTTCCCCAGGTAGGGGCAGAGCAGGGACTCCTCCGGGGGTCGTTCAGGATCCCGCAGACCGCGCATCAAGGCTCGCGGCTGAGAGAGGCTACACCAGGACGCCTTTCCTAGGGGCTGCGCTTGGTGGGGCAGTTCCGGCCTCCTTGGGCAGCATGGGCGTGGTTTGGGTAGGTGGCCGTGGTCGTTGCTCTGTCGCTTGTTCCCACCTCCCCGCAGGTCGCTGCATTGCTGGCTCCTGCCACTGGGGGTGTGGAGAACGAAGCCGTGTATCTGCGCTCAGGGAGTTCGTATTGGATGCAGGAAACAAATAGTAACGGGGCCCACACCACCCCTGCTGCGGGCCCTCCTCCAGAACAAAGGATAAAAATCCTATTTTATGACCCTGTTGGTTCAAAGACGAATATAAACTGGGGTGAGTCATACACAGTTCCTCTGCTCCTAAGACGGTGAGGGGTGAGGGGGTCTTTGGGAGCCCCGAAAGTACCACCGTGCCTACCGCGTTCTATGGAGAAGCCAGGCCTGACCGCGAGCAGTGCAACACGGCCTGCTGGGAGGCCACAGGCGGGGGGTGGGGGTCCAGGTGTCCACACTGGACAGGGTGGTCCAGGGCACACTCAGGGAGGACCCTTCCAGTTGACCTGAGGACGGACAACCTGCCCATAAAAAAACAAAAAAACAAAAAAACCCAGCTTCCCAGAGGGAAGAGCTTCCACCCGCGGGACGGGCACCTGCAAAGGCCCTGAGGTGGGCGTGCTCAGTGACTTCAGGAGCAGTGACAAGGCCTATGTGGCTGGAACAGGGCGAGCCAGGCAGGGATGGAGCCATCGAGGAGGAGAGGCTGGTGCCTGGCCTTCAGGGCCATGGGGGACTTGGGGCCTATCTAAGTGCAAAGGGGCCTGTGGGAGTGCCACGCCCAGAAGACCGGGTGGAGCGGGGGCGGGGTGGGGTGGGGGTAAGAGGCATAGGGAGGGCATCGAGTGGAACCCCTCCTTCCTCCTGTCCCGCGAGGCTGGTGGTCAGGGGGGCACTCCAGCCCTCCCCAGCCAGAGTTTGGGGTGCGGAGGCGGCTGGCAGGACAAACGTTCACTTCCCTGGGAAAGACATCTTCCTTTTAGCAAATATTTATCTGAGCCGGAGGGGTCTCGTGCCACAGAGCAAGAGGCAGTGCGTGCGGGATAGTGGGCGGGCTGCTGCTGCTCGGGGCCGCCAGTGAGCTGGGGGACCCCGCCGAGGCCCCTACTGCCCTCTCTGTGCTCCATTTCCTCATCTGAGAGATGGGTGTAGTGCCCACCTCGCTCTAGGACGTAAGGTCAGCCATATACAACGAAGACCCAAAATAACAGTGGCCTAAAGACGATAGAAGCGTCCAAAGGTCAGCTGCCCGAGGTCAGCTCTACTTCCTGTTAGGGACACCGGCTCTTCCTATCTTCCTGCTCCACCATCTGAATGCCTCCACCCTCACGCTCCACCTCAAGGTCTGTACTAGCTGCTTGCGCACCGGCCATCACATCTATACTTTTTCTTGAAGCCCCCATCCCAAAGCCCAGAAACAAAAAGTGCACCAGCCCCCTCACTTAGCAAAACTAGCTCCAGGGAGGCTGGGAATGACAGGCTTGATGGCGGCCACGTGCACAGCCCCACTCGAATCGTACAGAAGTGGCGACTGAGCATCAGCTACCCGGCTTCTGCTGTTCTGCAGCTGCCCGTGTGTCGTCTCACAGTCACCACGGGGAGGGCGTCCACACGTGGCCAAGCCGAGTCCTCTCGTGATCTGAGAGCAAAAAACCAATAGGCTGCTCCGCGTTCTGATCCCGAGCTCCGGGCCGCCTCAGCCCGTTCAGGTTGTGGCCACACTGGGTCTCTTCTCGAGGCAAGCTCCTTCTTCCTGTAGGCTCTGTCGCGGCTGTCAGCCGGCCGTTCCACTGCTGGAGGCTTTCCTCAGGCCCTCCCCGATGGCCCTCTTGACAGGGCAGTGTGTCCATCAGCCAGCCAGAGGGTCCTCTTCCTTCTCCCAAGGGCTCGTCTGAGTAGCCAGACCGCCCCTCCCCGAGATGATCTCTCCTGGTCACTTAGCCCCGTCTACAGAGCCCCTCCATCTTTAGGCGTGACACCCGCCACGTTCACTCATGGAGGAGACGACACAGAGGCCGGACATCCTAGGAGCACCTCGAAGTTCTGCTTTCCGTGGGATGAGCTACCCCACACGCCCGGTTCCAGGAGGTCTCAGACAGAACGCATTGGCAAGCGCGACCAGCATTCAGGCCGCGCCTAACCAAACCCTGGAACCGCGCTGAGCCACGGGCTCCTCCTGCCGTGAAACCCCAGCCCGTCAAATGATGTCAGCAGTTTGGGGTGCGAACTGTTACCTGGAGCACCCAGATTCTTGGCCACGTCACCCATCACACACACACACACACACACACACACACACACACCGTGCTCTTTATGTGCCGGGAGGGATGTGGGATGGCCTGACTGTCTGCTAACTGGTCCAGGCCCCTGGCCCTCCACTTCTGGTCTGGGCCCGCCAAAGTCGCAGAGAGCACGTTCCCCATGAGCTCGTGGCTCAGACGAGACCGAGAGCCACGGGCGCTGACTGCCCTCCTACCACAGACCCGTAGGGTGCAAGTAGCACC